CTTGGTATCTGAAATGCACAATATTTATTGTCCAGTACACAAGGTGCTTATGGGCTCATGAAGGAGATAAGGTATCCACACATGATGTAATTAAATTATAACATAAGACATTTAAGAGATGTTACAGGACAGATTACAATGTGCTCTCTTAACTTTTTCTTTTCTCTTAAATTACACATTCTTCCTCTCTTGGGATAAACTCTCTTGCTTTCAACTATCATTAACAATTATCAGGGGTTTTTTTCCACTTTTGAAATCTTTACCAAATCTCCCTATGTATTTTATGGATATACCATCCTTAAAAAATCCAAAACTGGACCCAATTCCTCAGTATATTGTTAAGCTTAGTAGATAGCCTTGCCATATATTTTGTCTTCTAAGTTAAAAATCTGTGTCATTTGTATGTTCTAACTAAAATGATTGGTAGGGAGTTGGAGGTAGATTGGATCCACTTAGTATAATTTTGCCTTATTAAATGTCTCAAGTTATTATTAAATGACTATATCACTTTGCATATAGTTTACCTTGCCCCTATGTTCTGTTTAAATGAAAAAGTCGTAACTTTTCACTGTCACAAATAAAGAACCACCAAATTTGTTTCACAATTTTTCATGTAGTTTTTACATTCTCGCCATTAGAAAATTTCCCAGAAGTTGTAGTTGTCATGTCAAGGTGAAATTAACCTATTAATTGTTCAAATAAGTCTGTTCAAGTGTTATTTTCCTGTGAACTTCATTGCAACTAAAGATACTTTGAGAATTGGCCTATATTGGGCCTGTTATAGCATTGTTATATCCAAAACCAATTCCTTCTCTCATCCTCAGTACTCCCATATTATCTTGTGCAAACTACCACAGTATTTCTTGTACTGTATTGTTATTACGTCCTGTCTTTCCAAGAACTATTCTTATACTTTTATTCCATATATTAAGCAACCATTAACAGTATATATCCAAAACCATTCAGGCCTTCTATGCTGATTCTCTAGTTCTGATTGTCAGGTAAGTAGACAGACTGTGCAGGGCAGGTTCTAAGTGGACTTCCTCAAAATACTGACTGAAAATGATAGGCTATATTATCCATTGTTTCTTAGGGTCAAATGAGGGGGTGTTTTGTATGTTAATGAAAACAGTAGAGGTCAAGAATAGGGGGAGCATCCTAGCAGGTAGCAATCTGGATTAATTTTGGAGACAGAATGGCACGTGTAGCAGGCAGGGTGACTTTAAATGGGCCAAGATGGATAGTAAAAATGAACATACTCAGGAAACTCTTGAGTTTTCTGCAAATATGGGGAATGGTACTGAGGGATGAGAATTGAACGAGATTTTCTATCTGCATTATTTCCCCAAGTGACAAGAACTTGTTGGCAAAGTCTTGCTCTGTTCTTTGGTGGTTGCAAGTTACAGAACCCAGTCATTTTGCCTATGTGATGTGTGGTATAACAGGTGTGCTGTGAACACTCTGTTTATGAGGTCCATGTGTTGATTGTTGGTCTGTAGTTGATGGATATTGAATATGTGGATTTAGACTTGGAGGGCTCTGAAAAAAGACTCTGCAAATTTAGGACAAAAATCATTGTCTCCATTTTGATATTCTATGGTTAGGCAATTCACTCTTACTCATGTAGCAGAAAGAAAATTGTCCACTGTAGGTTATGAACTGTATCATGTTCATAAATGAATTCATATATTTAGTAATATGTAGCCCAGAAAGGAAATAGGTTCCAAATGGAAAGTGATGGATTCCTAGGAACTTTGGGGGATTAGAATGAGGTGTTCCAGAGATCTACTGTGGCATTAGAAAACACCCCAAGTTTAATGATATAAATGAACAACCATTTTACTATGCTCCTGTGGGTCAGAAATTCAGACAGAGTAGAGCAGGGGTGCTTATCTCAGCTCCACAATACTTGGGCCTTCATCATGGTACACTAGAGTGATTGAGGGTAACTCACACGTCTTGAAGTTGGAATCATTGTTGGTTACATCACTGACACAACTGGTACCTGAGTTGGGAATGTTGGCCGGAATGCTTTCATATTGCCTCTTCATGTGGCTTGTGCGTTCTGAGAGCATGGTGGTCTTAGGGTAATTGATCTTTCTTTAAATGGTGGCTCAGGAATCCAAGAGAGAGTATTCCAGAGAATGTGGTGGATTCTGCATGTCTTCTTCTGACCTAGCATTACTTCTCCTATTTACTATTTGTTGAAGCAGATAAAATTTAACCAGATTCAAGAGGAAGGTACTTAGACATCACACCTTGATGAAGAAATTGCAATTTTTAAATTGTCAAAATGTGTATCACCTCTTAGGATTATCAGAATTCTTTTTGGACCGGGTTCATGTCTAATAGCTCTGTATGGTACAAGGTCAAGGCCTCCTGCTAAACCTGAGGCTACCAGTAGTCAAAGCTTAAAGGGGATCTGATGGACTGTAAGGGTTACTTTGTGATACAAAGGACCTCTGTCCATCAAAATGCACAGGTGGCCATGACAATTTAGCAGCCCTTTCTTATTCTACCCTTCTGTAGCTGACAATGCAAAATTCTAACCTTCTGGCTCTGTAAGTAGTAGACAACTGCTGTTTTCATTCTCACACACTCTGATCCTTTTACTTACCTGCTTACAATCCTTTATAGACTCTCTATCATCTCCAATATAAAGTCTAAGGCGATCAGTATCACATTTAAGATCTTTATCTTAACGGTCTTTATCTAAAGGTCTTTAAGACCTTTATGATCTGGCCCTGACCACCAAAAATTCAGATGTGATGCTATCATCCAAAATAAGAAAGCCAGTATTTGTATAATTATTGAACTCACTGGGATTCATTAATTTCCTAGGGCAGGGGTTCCCAACCCCCATGCTGTGGACTGGTACCATCCATGGCCTATTAGGAACCAGGCCACACAGCAGGGGATGAGCGGCGGGCAAGCTGGCAGAGCTTGGCTCCCATTATTGCCTGAGCTCCCCCTCCTGTCTCCCGACTCTGGTCACCCTTGGTCCCCACACCCCGCCCTGCTCCCCCATCTCCCTATAACCCTAACTCCTCTGTCTGTGGAAAAATTGTCTTCCACAAAATGGGACACTGGTGCCAAAAAGTTTGGGGACTGCTGTCCTAGAGGACAAGGGAGAACAATTCTTCCTCAGTTGAGGGTGGTCCACAACAAAAATAGCCTAGATCCCTCTGGTTTCTCTGTTCAGCCTGCTCTTGAGGGTCCAAGCCTAAAGAAGGGTTCTAATTCTGAGTCAGTGCTCCCCTTTGGTCCTTTGTACAGATGCCAGACCATTGATCCTGATTCCTCCACCCCTCAAGATGAATTCTTTCTCTGGGTCCCTGTCCTTTCGGGCAGTCTGTCTACTCTTGATCAGGGCCTCCTAGTCTATCCCACACATTTTAGTAACTTTCAATCTCAAAACAATGAAGAAGGGACCAAGAGGCCCTTTCATCCAGAGACCCAACTGTCTATACATTTTTGGATGTCTCATCCTGTCCAGCAGCATCTAAGGTCTATATAGCAATCAATATGTGTGTCTGATATAACCTGTGTATAGGATTTGAGTTCAGGTCCTGATTCAACCAACATGTCCTAGAACATCTGCATTCAATTTCAGGGGATTCATGGATCCCTTGAGGTAGGGTTGCTAGATAAAATACAGATGGCCGGTTAAATTTGAATTTCAGATGAACGGTGAATATTTGCATGGATAGTTATGCATTTCTGTGGGAAGAGTTTCAAACAGCCTCCAAAGGTCTAGGTCTAAGAATTCTTGATGCAGGATTTGCTTAAAGAACTGATGTGCTCGAGTGACTTGACATGGGTGGATAAAAAACTATCATGTGTAACATGCTTATATTAAAGAACTATCATCGCTTATCTGAAATTAAAACCCAACTGGACACTTGCTTTTTTCTTTTTTTTTTTTAAATTGCTAAATCTGGCAACACTACCTTAAGGCCAACCACAGCTTTCTTAGGTATGTAGATCAGAGTAAGAACTGATACAGAGAAGAGGACTAAGTGTTTCTTTCTTTTTCACCAAATTATTTAAACACTTAATATTGAAATACCCAGGTGAACTGGCAGAACCACTTCCAATTCCTTTAGTTCTAAATATCAGGATATTATCATTATTATCTTCACGTTTTACATTGTTATAGAGTGACTGAGATTGTGTCACCAATTATGGCCAGTAACTTCTTTGTTAATTTCCTACAGCAGAAAGATGTTGAATAAAATTCTTGAAATTGCAGACTTCGAAAATTAAGTTACATAAATAGCTGACATACAGGCTGAGGAAGAAAGGAAGCTGAAAGAAGTACTCTTAATTATTCAACAATACCCTGAAGCCCAGACTAGAATTGTGAGGGAAAATTTGAAATCTTTTCTATCCAACTACAGAATCCTATCACTTCTATTTGCTAATTCCATAATCAGGCTAACCTTCCTACCAAATTCTTCTAAAGCAAGAGTACTCTTCTTTTCTCTCTAAATTTTGTTTCGAAAAAGAAATAAGGTTTTAAAAAAGTTCAGTGAGAATGGTTATACCATGAAATGCAAGTCTCCCCTCCACCTTGACCCCTTGTCCCTGGACCAAAGGTTCTTAACTTGGTTTAAGGACAAGAGTCTAAGCCAAGGTTTCTAGAGTAATGTGAATTTCCTGAATGCATAATTTTCAGTGTACTCGTAATTGTGCATTTTTGTGAGAAGAGGATCCAAATTTTTACCTGAGCCACGAAAGGGTCAGTGTCTAAGGCAGGTTCTGCTGAAAGGAATGATGCGCCCGACTGACTCGGAACGTGCAGGTAAAAATGCTGGAACTGGTCCCAGTGTAAAAAATCTACCAGCGTCCATAGAACTGCGGTTCCTTGGACAAAAGTACGTTCTTGGTGGAAGGGATCACAGCTCTTTTCTTTCCAAGTTTTCCGCCTGCCGCATTCCTTCTCTTCAGCGCGTCGGCGTGTTCTGACGTCATGACGGCGTACACGCAGTCCCGCCCCTGCAGAGATCGGTGCTGGGACGGAACACGGGTTTCTCTCAAATCCGGAATGTGAGGCCTTGGCCCGCTGTCCCCTGCTCCTTGTCGCGCTCCTCACCCGGGCCTACGTCCGCTGCCGCTGCCCCAGAGTTCGTCCCCGGAAAAGCCAGGGTGGCCGTGCCCTTCTGCCGTGTGCCCGCGTGGGTGGCTGCCGCCGCCCCTCCGAATCCTCCGGGGCCGCAGAGGAGTTCGCTACGGAGGGAGGCGGGGGCCTTCGGGAGGAGGAGGCGGAGGAGGCGGAGGAGGAGGGAAGGAAGATGGCGGCCGTGGAGCTAGAGTGGATCCCAGAGACTCTCTACAACACCGCCATCTCCGCCGTCGTGGACAACTACATCCGTTCCCGCCGAGACATCCGCTCGTTGCCGGAGAACATCCAGTTCGATGTTTACTACAAGGTACGGACCGTGGGCCTGCTCTTAGCTCTCCTGCCGCAGCCCGAGGGGCCGCACCCCCTTCCACGTCTGCGAACCCCCGCAGTTAACCCCTCACCCCTCGTAGCGTGATGGCCTCCCGAGACATCGGGTGCAATCCCGCGGTTGCCAGGATAGAGACACCCTTGCTCCACAGTGTCTGTCTTCCAAGCTCTTGGGCCTTGATTGGTATCCCTTCCAAGTGAGTCCCCGTTTTGGTATTCCCTCCTACACTGTGTCCCCCGGGGTAGGCCTTTGCGTGGACTTTCTCTATTGCTTCCCTGTCCCACTGAGGTCCTTCCTTTCTAGCCTGTGTCTTCGGGATGTTTTCTGCCCTCACTTCCCAATTAAATGTCAGCATCAGCTGGACCTTTTGCTCTGCTCTCCCCCACCGCCCGTCCCTTTCCTACTCTTCTCTCGCCGCCCTTCTTCCCAAGTACTTTTCCCCGCTTCACGTTCCTTGGTTTGCCTTTTCTCATCTTAATCGAGAGGGAGTTAAGGAATAATAGGAAACAGTCGTGTGTATTATTCGCCTATTCTTTAAAGCTTTGGGTTTCATTTGTACTTGGAGATAAATTGGGGATTTTATTAATATGGAAGTGTCGGTAAACTCCTTGAAAGGAAGGGGGAAAATCCTAAAAACAACTTTAGAATTCAAATTACATTCATGTATTTGGAAGTTGCAATCTTGCAGCATTCCTAAATCGCTCCCCCTCAAAAATCGCAACAAAAAGTCTCCAAGTCACTCTCCAAGGAGTTTCAAGGGTAAGAGTCTTTAGATGAGGACAATTTTTGCAGTGTTTAAAGAGGGAGGAGAACTTTATGGACTTGGAGCCTCCCTTTTCCTCCCCCTGCCCCAGCATTTGAGAGTGAACAGTGGATTTATTCAGTTCTCCTTGCTTTGAAATTGGCGTGGATAACTTCTGTTCTCCAGTAGCCGCCCATACAAAACTTGACAAAAAAATAGTGTATGTTTTTTATATCTTAAATATTTCCTCTTGCTTTTTAAGTTGGCTGGAACAATGTAAACTGATACTTAACAGATGTGTATGTTCTCATTTATGTATGTGTTTTATGGCAGTCGTTTTATTGGGAAGATTGCCGGCTTTCTCCACCCTAGAATAATTTTTCAGAAAGCAGTCAACTTGATGCATTCTGCTAAATCCAACTGAATTACACCAGTTGTAAAAATTCAAATGTTTTTTCCCCTAAATATTGGGGGAAGATTTATTTTGGTCATACATATTATTTGGCGGAGTGCAGGGTGTGGGGGACGATGTAAGAGAAAAACCTCCCTTCCTTTCAATCCCTTTGATACATTGACTTTTGTGTATATCTAAGGAAACATTGTATATTTAAGACTCATTCCTCCCAGGGAAGGGTGAGTTCGAGTTTTTCTCAACCAGAAACTTCAACTTTGTGTGTGTACTAACTCTGTCCATTTTATTAAATCATATGCAATCTTTTACACTTTCAGAGAAAAATAATTGGAGATTCCATCAAAGTACATTTCATAGTTGAATTGTCTCAAAGTAAAATACTTGGATATCTTCTAGTATGCTGCTTCTAATTGAAGCTTTTTATTTGAAGATTGTTAGTATGAACAGATGGTGCTTTTCCCACATTTTCTGTTTCATGTAGTACACAGAGTTTTAATATTGCTTCTTTCTGGTACACTTTTACCCTTAATAGTTACATGTCTGTTAGGAGTATGGCACTGTGCTAAGGTGAAGGAAGTTATTTAACATGTGCTTGGAACTGTGGGTTTATACACATTATTTAGTTTAACCCTCACAAACTGTAAAGTAGGGTATAACCCTATGTGAGGTGAGAAAGTTAAGTATAGGGTTGGCCAACAAGTCTGTTTAGTTTTTTGCCATAAAAGACACATCTTTCATTTTCACCAATAACTTGATTGATTTGGATATTCTGAGTGTGTCAGCTATCTCCCACATGGTATAGTGTTGATTGTTCTCAATTGATGTCTTGATTTGATCACTACTAACTTCAGCTGTTCTACTAAAAGTAAAGTATGGTCCAGCAAGAAATCTCTAGCACAGAACTTACAAACCGCTTTCGACACATTCCATCAGTTACAGCACCTTCTCCATACACTACACAAATTTTTTTTTTTTTTTGCATTTCAGTTGCATTTTTATCTTTCTTGAAATAATAAAACATAACTTGAGAAAATGTTGCATATTTTCTTGCATCTTCAATATTAAAATGGCTACAGAAAAATTCACCAGTTTTGGTAAGCTTTTTTAAAAGTGCACCTGATGTTACAGCTGTCACAATACAATCTAACAAAATTGTTTTGAATGAAATTAAAGATAACTTAAGTGCTACTAGAGCGCTCTACAGAAAAAACCAGATGAGCTTTTTGGCCAACCCAGTAGTCAAAATCTCACACTAAGCATTTAGTTCCTTAGGACCTTGCTTTATTGCTGGCAAAGATTTTGCATTTTGAGGTAGGCTATTTTTATGAAAGGCATTATAGAACTAATTTTTATTAGCTTTTACAGAAATAACTAGAGTGAAAGTCAACCCCTGGAGTTCAGTTTTTAATTGAAATATAAGAAGGAACTTTTTTTAAACATTGTTTCAACACATAAATGTAAGAGACTTTTAAAGCATTTTAATACATATAAGATACTCATCCCATGCCCAGTTTGTGAAAATGTTAAGGGGCTTACTGTTTACAGTTGTGTTTTCTTCAGTTTGGAGCCAAGGAGAAACTCTTAATTAGCTCCTTCTAGCAGTTCCAGCTTCCATCAATAGGCATAATCATAGACAAAATTACAGTATTTGTGAAACCAAAAATTCCCTCATCCCTCTTGATTGGTTTAGTCCAGTGTCAACTATGTTATTTTTTGTCTGTGGCTTCAAGTGAAGGTACCAGCATAAAGCTTTAGGAGGTGGGATTGTGGAATAAATGGGAGGTGAAGAAGTAGGCATGCTGGCTGCTCCCTAAAATGGGGAGGGAGAAAGGTGTTTGTATGTACAAGGGGTAAAATGTGAAGGGTGTTTGTTTCATTTTTTTTTTAAAGAATTAAAGGCATTAGAATATATTTACTGACTGAATTGCAGAAACCAAAACAGTGTAAGAAGTTAAATAAATGTGAAGCAGGAAATGAATTGTGGAGCAGAGTCCCTGAGCAAAAGCATTAATTAATGAGTCTTGACCCTTCCTTCATGGTGCATCAATTAAGGTATCAGTCATACATTGGTGGTCGGGAAAGAATACTACTTTAAGATCAGATGAAAAGTGTTAAGGACATAAAGTATCAACATAGATAAGTTTGTAAAGAATGGTTGTTATGAATAAGGAGGTAAGGTCATCTAGTAGTAGGGCTAGGTGTGCTGGTTTTTATGTAGGGAAGCTAAACTGAAGTTGGAAATGGCTACCGAAGTATTTGAGAAGGGAAGTTCACTAAAAATGTTTTAAAAAATTGACAGATGGTATAGATGGTTTAATAAAAAGTAGTACCCTACGAAATGAATCTAAATTGTTTTTATCTAAGGGTGCTCAACCATTTAGGTATAGGAATGGATGAGATGAATAGAAGGAATTTTAAAATTGTATACCAAGTGAATGTAAATAAAATGAAAAGTTGGTTTCTTTCAAAATGAAATATATGGTCTTTCTTTTTCATTTTAACTGCTAAATGGTGTATTTTGTGTCCTGTTCCAATTACAGAATTTTCCATAGAGTTAAGTTTTTGGCTGGGTGAAGTATTTCAGTAATTTGTTCTGTTTATTGTTTTCACTCTTAAACTGAATGGGTTTTTTTTTCTTTCTTTCTTTATTGTATCTTTTTTCCATTGCCATTTAGTTGCCTTATACCCTCCTCCCCCCAGCAGTCACCACACTATTGTCCATGTCCATGAGTCCTTTTTTCTCAATCCCTCTATCCCCTAACTTCCCTTCACTCCTTAGCTGTCATCTCCTTTCCATCTATGAGTCTGTCTCTGTTTTACTTATTAGTTCAGTTTGTTCATTAGATTCCACATATGAGTGAAATCATACAGTATTTGTCTTTCTCTGACTGGCTTATTTCACTTAGCCTAATGTTCTACAGGTCCATCCATGCTGTCACAAAGGGAAAATTTTTATTCTTATTTTACAGCTGAGTAGTATTCCACTGTGTAAATGTCCCATAGTTGTTTTATTCACTCATCTACTGATAGACACTTGTGTGGCTTCTGTATCTTGGCCATTGTAAAAAACAAACAAACAAACAAAACCCCCCAAAAAACAGTGCTGCAGTGACATAGAGGTGCTTATGTTCTTTCCAATTACTGTTTTGGGTTCCTTTGATTATATTCCCAGAAGTGGGATCACTGAGTCAGAAGGCAGACCCATTTTTAAATTTTTGAGGTATCTCCATACTGCTTTCCACAGTGTGTGCACCAATTGGCATTCCCACTAACAGTACAAAAGGGTTCCTGCTTTCTCCACATCATCACCAGCACTTATTTGTTTGTTTATTGATGAGAGACATTCTGACAGGTCTGAGATGGTATCTTATTGTGGTTTTATTTTGCACTTACCTGATGATTAGTGATGTTGAGTATCTTCATATGTCTGTTGGCCACCTATCTATCTGTATGTCCTCTTTGGAGAAGTGTCTGTTTAGGTCCTTTGCCCATTTTTTAATTGAGTGGTTAGTTTTTTTTGTGTGTTGAGTGTTTTAAGTTCTTTATAAATTTTGGATATTAACCCTCTATCATATTTATTGGCAAATACAGTCTCCCATTCTTTGGGTTGTCTTTTTATTTTGTTGATGTTTTCCTTTGCTGTGCAAAAACTTTTTAGTTTGATATAGTTCCACTTTTTACTTTTTATTTTGTTTCCCTCACCTGGAGAGATATACCAATAAAATATTGCTATGAGCAACATCAAAGATTTTGCTGTCTTTGTTTTTGTTTAGGACTTTTATGGTTTCAGGTCTAACATTTAAATCTTTAATCCATTTTGAATTC